ATGAAATAATTAGTGATATGTTTATCCGCTGTTCGAAGTTTTAGTCAGATATACAATCGAGTCGGTTGGATCTCAACCAAACTGCAGAAATCCTAAGCTGCTCCATTGGGCGCGAATTAATTTCTGGTTTCTCCCACTCTTTACAGCGAGGCGCCATTTTGTTCATTGAATGCCTAGGCGAGTATCAGTGTTTTGTGTATCCCCACGGGGGATACACATATCACTAGTGATATGTGTGCGGGAATACACATATCACGGGGATACACATATCACTGTGACACCGGGGTTAAATAGCCTTTTCCGGGATATAACATATCTGGAGGCGACATTAACTGTATTTTCTGGAATGGTACCTGGTTTTGTAAGGGCTCATGTCAGGTTTGGTCAGATTGATCCTCGTGAAGGCAAAGAAACGTTAGCTAACCTCGTGGAGAGTCTTTCTCGACAAGCTTGGTGAACAGGCGTTAATAGAAACACAATTTCCCAAAATAGTACGTCATTGTCGTCTCAAAATCGTAATTCTCCACAAGTTAATATTTTGTGCAATTTCTTCCTATCTCGATCTCACGGTTCTCGTCACCTTGGGATTTGTGGCACTGTTGCCCTATGGAATCCCCCCTTACCACCCGGGGGGAATCCCATATGAAAAAGACGGGGATGCTCGTGGGAAAGTTTGGAAAGAACCCCTAAGAGGTACCAAGATCCTGTTTTGTGGGTGTGGTTTGAATTTTTTTCTCTCCTAAGAGGCATCATTTCTTATATAACACATTATTTCCTGTCACATTTTTTCAACTCATTACCCTAGAAGGTACTGCAAAAGCTCCAACTGTGGGCCTTTTGAGGCTAAACACCCTAACAGGTATCAAACTGCTTTTTTAACTCTTAAAAGGTACAAGGAGCACCCCCGTACTTTTTATATGTGAGGCCCCGCCCCCTCCCTGAGCCTTACCCCTATTCAAATTTAAACACCCTGCCCTCATGTCAAGGTGCTGTGAATGATCGAGGAGCTGCAATGATTGTTAATGAATATTGAATTAAAAATACCAATCTTGTAGCCGAGGAAGAAGTAGAAGAATTTGTGCCCTTGGCCTCCGCACTGGTGATCAACATTGGAACCCTCTCCAACCCATGGATCAAGTCCATGCACAAGGCGGCAGCTAAAGCTCACGAACTGGGGAAGGTCTGGGTGCTGGACCCAGTGGGAGTGGGTGCCACCAACTTGCGAACAAAGACAGCAACAGATCTGGTTCTTTCTCACAAGCCCACAGTGATTAGGGGTAATGCCTCTGAAATCATGGCACTGGCCAAGAACATTTGTGCAGCATTGAATGTTGAAACATCAGGTAAGGGAAAACTAAATTTGCATCTTGTTGCCAAAACTTTAAGCAGCTTGGGTTAATTCTGGGGCAGGGGAACGAGTGAGCAACAGCTACAGAGAAACGAGAAAGAAACCCTGGGGTCATGGGATATCATCACCAGCCAGGCTTCAGATGCACAACTGTCTCATGGAAGTCTCACAGTATTTGCTGCCCCCAGGGGTGGTAATCCCTATAATGGACTATAAGGGGAGGCTCCGGCCGAAAGGAGTAGCGTTTTCAGGCTTCAGGTATATAAAAGGGTAGGGATTTCATGAGTTGAGGTATATGAAAAGGTAGGGAAATCTGTCATCTAGGTATTTTAATGGGCCTTTTTATTAAAATATTTCGAACATAAGCACCCTGTGGCTGTATAATTTAATTTATGAAGCACTACGTGAAAATGACAAGACTTCAATTTTTGGAGATTTAGTCACAAGACAGGCCAGTTACAGCAGATACAGTTTTTGTAAGTAGGTATGTGAAAGGGGTACTTATTTTCAATAAAAGGTACAGTATATGAAAGGGGTAACTTTTTTGTCAAAATGGTATAAAAAAGGGTAATAAGTTTGACGTAAAACTTTGTTGAGTACCCCCCTACCCCAATCACCCTGGGGATGCTGCCATAAGAGAGAGATAATTGTTTGTATTTTAACTAAAACATGTCCTGTTTCCACAGCTGGAGGTCAAAAAGGAGTTGACAGTTCTGAAAGTTCTGACAATGCCCTCATGCCTGCCCAAGCCCTTGCCTCAGAGTGCCATTGTGTTGTTGTTGTCACAGGAGAACATGACTTTGTGACAGATGGCACAAGGGTGATCAAAGTATCAAATGGTCATCCAGTTCTTAAAATGATAACTGCTGCTGGATGCACACTGACTGCTGTAATAGCAGCATTTGTTTGTTTAGAAGATCCAACAGATGTCAATCTTGTGATGAAGGGTTGTGCATGTGCATTAAGTGTCTTTGGAATTGCTGCAGAACTGGCTGTTAAAAATCCAGCTTGTAAGGGTCCTGGAAGTGCCAGAATGCACATGCTAGATGCGTATAGTGGCATCACTATAGAAACATTGTGGAACATGGCCAAATTCTCCTGAGTCAAAAAGACACAAAGAAATAAGTTTAAAACTTTAGACAAAGACTTAGTCACTTTTCACATGGACACTTCAAGCTTTGTAACTTTTAACAACTGACACATTTTCCTTTGTTAACTTCAAAATGCTTTATTTTAGTGAACTACCACAGTATTAATGGCAGCCTGTGACAGCGCACACAAAGGTGCCTCTGACTAGTTCAACACACAAAATAGTGAAATGTTATTTATAGTAAATGTTATTCACACAAGTTTGTTTGTCAGGATAGAGCAAAGTTGCTGCAGTTTACAATATAGCTGACCCTCTCTCAGTACATGGCTGTATTTGAATGACAGGCATGGGCACAGGTTATCCAAACTAAAATCTTCTGATAATCATGCATTCTGATATTGGCTAAGGTGACTGAACTTCAACAACAGAGAAGGCTCATAAAGAAATCTGCTGAAAGGAATTTTAAAAGAGAAACAAACAAACAAACAAAACCATGCACATAAATAGTTACATATGGCTCATTGTGAAATAATAAAAACACCCATAACCATCTTTGAATCCTTATTAAATAAATTTAAAATGGTTAACTAACTTTACAATAGTTGACTTGACATTTGCTAAACCAACTTAAATTTAAACAGTTTGCTGTACACTGCAAATAGACCCTTTTCATTTGGCCCTGTGAACTTGTAAAATGTTTCTACAATAGGTGTGACTACTTAGTGGAATAACAAAAATTATTATGAAAAGAGAAGGACAATAACAGTAATTATTATACATTGAACTCACTATCTCTTTTCTGATTGGCCGAAAACATATAGTGTTTTCGAAATCAGCACCTGTGATGCCACCTAGCTGCAGATTATACAATAATCATGTCAAGGACACTCAAGGTCACGGGTAACATATCATGTATGACTGCAGTGCATGATTTCTAAGGGTAATCATGTCCAGTTTGCATGCTCTCTGTTGCTTGCCTTTGGGAAAGAAGCAAAAACACGACCTCTATTTTTTCTTTTCGTTCAATGTATAATAAAACAGTTGTTAGATTTGGTTTTTGTGATATCCAGAATAATCAAGGTCTCAGTAAGGGTTATCAGCCTCAGCCTTCGCCTTTGGCTGATAACCCCTACCTTGACCTTGATTATTCTGGATATCACCAAAACCTCATTCAATAATTGTTCACAGCATGCAAAAAAATAGTGTCCGATAGCCCAGGACTAGTGGAATCTGTCTGTCACTTCCCTGACAGACAAGTGAAGGACAAAATCCACTGGCAAAATCCAAAGTTTCTTGACAAAATTGTTGAGAAAATTCAAATTACAGAAGTACTGTAAGAGATTAAATTTTTTTAGGGCTAGTGAGGATGACTTTCAAACTTCTAGTCAAGTGAATCATTTTTGCTGCCTGAAAATTGGTTTTCTTTGCCCCTTTGCGGTATATAGGAAAATCAAGGCTGCATATAAGAGTGTTTTTCTGCCAATACAGTGTACATTCCATTACTTTACATGGGTTTGTTACTGTAATTTTGACCTTTCCTTTCTATTTATTTTATTCGTTTTGTGCAGTTCCAGAAAATATCCATGCTCCCTCCACAGAAGGGATTGGAATTTCCTGGAGGGTGGTTGGGGTGGGTTTTTGTAAGAATAAAAAATTTAAAGAAGTGCATAAAGCTTCATTGGAATTTCCAGAGGGGTGGGAGGTATGGATGTTTTCTGGAACAACACACTTTAGAAAAATGAACAAATAGTTACATATCACTTCCTAGAACGATGAACATGTTTTACCAAAAGAGGTAAAACTAAAGGGAACTATATTAAAGCAATAATAGTAACCTTAAAAGTCTTAATTAAAGTGAAGTTGCTGTATCAACTATAACTAGTTTTTTTCTTCTTCCTGTAGTTTGTGGTTTGGTGGCAGCTGGTTTTTTTGCACCAGTTGTTCTCTTGACTGTAGCTGTTGTTTTTATTGGGCTTGCTCTTGATTTCTTTTTAGGTGACAGACCATCTTGACACTCCTCTGATTTCCGCTTCTGTCATTAATGAGAGAAAACATACCCATAGTCATCATTATTTTTATGTACAGTGTACAGTGATCAGCGGGCTGAGGGTAGTCCTGAAAAGGACTGTTGTCTGTGACTAATGTTTTGCAATGTGAGTGGAAATCACCTTCTGAGTCGCGTGAAAAGGATTTTTTTTATTGGTCAATGGTTTCAAAATGAAACTGATTGGCACACAAAGAAAAATGCCAGTTTACTCATTAGCCATGAATATTTTTTCCATGGACATTAACCACTTAATGACTGATGGGCCCCAAGGGAAACAGTGATTTTTGTTTCCCTGAGACCTTCAATGTTCTCTTTGGCTTTGCCTCCGGGAAACAATGAGGTTCTCAGGGAAACAAAACACACTGTTTCCCTTGGGTCCAGTCATTAAGTGTTTTGTTATACCTCCAGACTCAAAAATGGAACAAACTGCAAAAATATTATTTGCTTGATGCTGGCTGGCATATAAATTTGCTGTGGTTTTATTAAGGTGCAAGACATGATCATGTGCAAGCCAAAAGTTCAAGTTGTTGTTTGCCTAGTTTTGACCCATGGCACATAACATGTTCTCCTCCAATTGGAAAACGTGTTTGGGTCGGGAAGTATAACAAAACATTTTGTTTCGTCAGTGGCCTACATGTATGCTCCAAAATGGAGTACTGGTAGGCTTCAGATCATATCAGATTGCTTTTCCTTTCAAGTTTTTCGCTTACCTTTGCTGCTGGTCTTTGTGGTGCGGCTTTGTCCCTGGTCTCCTTTTCTTGTGAGCTGTGGCCATTGCACAACTCAGTTGCCGTGACTGAAGAGGAGGGTGAACTCACTTTTCCTGTTGTGAACTTGATATTCTTGCCATCATCAGTGCCTCCTCTCTTTTTAAGACCATCTTTGAACAATTTACGAATGAATTCATAGTCTGGCTCTTGTTGGTATTTCAAGGTGTTGATGTATTCTAGATACTTTTGGATTTCAGCTGCAGAGAGAAAGAGAAAGAGAGTGGTGTCTGTGTACCCTGTTCTTATTTTATGTCTGATAAGTTATCACTAATATGCACTAAATAAAATAATCAATGCCACCTGGAAAGGTTCCATTTGAATGATGAATACATGCACACACAACAAGATAATTATATAGAAACCATACACTGGTTGCAAACATCTATTAAAGCATGATACCATAATCATAGAAGTAAACATTCACTAACCAGGGTGATTTCCATGAAAACAGTCCCTCATCAGTTTTGGAATGTCACTCATATACCTTGAAAAAAACAAACATAACACCTTAAGCAAACCTTTTATCACTTAATCGCAATATCTGGATTAATACATCATGTCCAGTAATGTATACTATATGTTAACAAAGACAGCCGATGTTAATTACACATCAACAACAGAGGAAGCAGTGGTGAGAGTGCTTGCCTCCTATCAATGTGGCATGGGTTCGAATCCTAGACCCAACATCTCAAGCGGGTTGAGTTTGTTGTTGGTTCTCGCCTTGCTCC